AAACCACTGTTACCTTTTCTGCTTTTGGTTTTATCAACCAGCTTGTTAGAAACGTGTCAATAAGAGAACTGTGATGAAGATGATTATCAAAATAAAATAAAAACTGTCAAGTAAACATACGGGTTAATCTCATCTATTGTTGGTAAAAAGCCACAGCAGCACCCAGAGGTTGATGCTGCCACAGATCTGGACTTTGACTAGGCCGTTCTGATCCTCTATCCCAGTCTGAGGAGTTCCACAGCCTGACTGGTATTTTCTTCCAGGACTCTCCTAAATCTAACTAGCCACTGCAGAAATTATAAAAGAGAATGGGGGAAAAAATGGAAGGCTTCAGCAAAGTTTGGTGATTTGCTATCAGATCATTCATGTAACCTGAGGTGGGGAGTAACTTGTTACATTTACTGGAGTAAATGGTTAATTAAAACTTTGCTAGTTTCACTGCAACATACTTTTTACTTCTAATCGCTAATCTTAATTTAAGTTAAATTTTTGACCACTTTACCCACTATGGGTCACTTTACTGAACAAAAAAAATAACCACATTCAAACCTAAAAAGCAGCAGAACCAGGCTATAGTTATGGAGTATTTGGAGCAATATTTATGATTATTTAATTTTAACAGATTGAACTTTATTGATCTCATATTGCAGAAATTGCCTTTGCCTTTAACCCATCCCCTTGGGGAGCAGTGGGCTGCCACTGTGCGGGGCCCAGGGAGCAGTGTGGGGTTAAGGGTCTTGCTCAGGGACTCAGAGTGGCAGTCAGTGGGAGTGGGGCCTGAACTCAGAACCTCTGGATTCCAAGCTCTATAACCACTAGGCCTCCACTCCCCCCAGTAGAGTGGCAGCCTTTAGACGCCTTTAGCATCTTTTAAGAGATAAATATGGGGGTTATTTTTCACTATGTCATTCATTCATTCATTCATTCATTCATTCATTCACTCACAATAATCTATAACTTCCAAACTAAATATTTAGATTGTCAGTTAAAAAACTTGTTAGCAAGCAAAATATTTAACCACGCCTAGCTAGCTAGCTAGCTAGCTAGGTCCTGGTTAAGTTTTAGCTAGCACCAAGCTAGCTAGCTAAATATTAGCTTGGTGATAGCTAGCTAGCTAGGTGCTGGTTAAATTTTAGCTAGCACCAAACTAGCTAGCTAAAAATGTGATTTGTTAAATAAATATTATATATATAGTTAATTAAATATTTTGTTAAAATATTAAATATGTAATTTGGAAAAATAAACATGTAGCTTTGGAACTTCGATTTTTTTATAAATGAATGACATAGTGAGGAAATTACCTCCTTATTTTCCTTGTAAAATAAACTAAATCGGTCTCCGCCAGTCACGTGACTTTTGTTGCTAAGACGCCATTTTAGTTGGAAAAGGTGTAGCGTAAACAACCGCAGCATAGCTAACCGAAGGACTAAAGGCCTGTTTACATAGCAGCCTGTCCAAGATAAGTCATTACAGTTAACATAAGCCTGAAAACAGGGGCGGCCAGTCACGTGACATTTGTTGCTAAGACGCCATTTTAAGTGGAAAAGGCATAGTGTACCGCGCCCGAGGTAAACAATTGACGTCACTTGGCGGAGACCGATAGCAATAAATATTTTTCCTAATTTTTGACAGCTTCACTTTACAAAGGGCTCCCATAGATAGTTCAAGTTTCACTGAAATGTTTTAATCTTTTTTTGTTCACAATCTTTGTTGTTAAGGTTGACCTAATGTACAGTAAAAAGTAATTGTCACTGGAGGTGGTTCACCATTCTGTCATGAATACTTTAAACACTTTAAGTCTTAAGAAATGGTTTCAGATGTTAAAGATCAAAACACTAAATATTTTCCCTGATTTTATTTATATTTTATTTATTTGTACTCATTGCTTTCCTTTATTCTTTAAAACAAAATTAAGTTGTACATAACCCTTTATTATAGTCTCTTTCATTCTTTATAATAATTTAATGGACAGCTACTTTTTACTTTTATTAAAATAGAAATTTGTAGAATCAGTGCATTTTCTTTGTACTCTAGCTTTGCACAAGAAAACAAAACATCTTATTTCCTAGATAAAACAGTAATCAGGAGTTAATTAAAAACTTGTGTGCTAACTAATTTTTAAATATTATTTCAGTTCAATATGGGAAAGAGTCAGAATGAAACTTTAATCTCAGAATTCTGACTTTTTTCCTGAGAATTGTGGATCTTAATGTAGATGGGCCCCATGAAGGCAGAGATGTGGAGCTCTCAGCTTCACTGACAAAGATGTGAGTAGTTTGGGAGGAACAGGAACACATTGGTGGTAAATGATGGAACTAGGCGACTTTTTACGTGCTTTTTCATTAATGGAAGAGCAGTGATTAAAACAAGAGAGCTAGTCTCTAAAACAGACATGGCTACGGCTTGATGCTAACATGTTTTTTGTTTGTCCGTCAGAATTCAGTCAGAATTCTCAGATTAAAGTCAGATTTCTGACTTTTTTTCTCATATTATACTGAAATAAAGTTAAAAAAATCTGTTAACTTGTTTTATTTTTCCCGTGGCCCTAATCCTCGTCCGTAGCTTAGTGACTGATTTATCTGAGAAAGTTTCCAGCTGAGCACTTTAAGGCCTCCCAGCAACGTGATGCTTTCAGGGACGCCTCAGACAGCGGAGTCCTCCTCACGGCTCTGGGAGGGAATAATCCAGCAGGTGGTTTCCTTCCCGCAGACGTCCGAAGCATCCGAGCAGAATGTCGACCGCCGTGCTGACCGTGGAGTGGACCTGCCCCTCCGTTTGCCCCCTCAGAGGGTTCACCTCCACCAAGTCCACGGCGGAGAGCAGACCTGAGGATGTTCTGAGTGATTCAGCTGCACTTATACGGTTCTGCCTGTAGGTGGCGGTAAACATGGCTCCTACCTGTCTGACAGAGCTGCTCTGTGATGAACAGCCCCTCTCGGTAGCTCAGGCCTCCTACCACAGGGGTTCCTGTTGCCGGGGCAACAGAGGGGTCGATGGCGTCGATGTCAAAGCTCAGGTGAATCGGTTTCTTTGCTCTTCAAAGACAAAGCAAGCAGTTAGAAATCATTTTTGGGGGTTAGGGTCCATCCAGATGTCTGATGGGACCCCAGAAAGCTCCGGGTTTGGTCCCGCCTGAACAGAAATGCTCTGAACCAGCTGAGGCTCACCTTTCCCACAGGTAGTCACATGTCTCCTCCATGACCCTGGCCACGCCCAGCTGGTCCACCTGTGACATGGAGAACACCTTCACTCCCAGCAGCTTCAGGATGTAGCTTTGGATTAGAGAAGGTCGCGTTTTAGACACCGATTAGGTCAAATTCCTGCGGTTCTGGCCGCCGGACTCACTGCTCCGCCGGATCGACGTCTCTCAGGCCGACGTAGACCAGGTCCCTGGAGGACACGCAGGGCTTCA